TTATACCAAATGGTGACTCAAGTTAAAATATTTCTTTTTTTTAGGAAAAAGTTTACATGAACTAATCCTCAAAAAAATACCTTGTCTAAAACTTTCCAATGGTTCACTGTGGACTATACAACTATGATAAAATTAGAATATGGACAGGAAGAATTAGCTGAGCTATATTTACAGTATTACAGATCTAGGCAAAAAGGCCAAGAATTAACCATGTGGCTTTACTTTCTCCATCGGTTTTGATGCCAAAAGAAATTTACCATAAAAGATTATGGTATAAAATAAGATGCCATTAAGCCCTGGATTCTGATAGATAATTAAGCTTGTTTGAAAGCAATAACATTCTGATGTCATCTCTTAACAGCAAACATTCAGAACTAAAATTAAAAAGAAGCTTCTACAGAGCAAAGGGAATTCAACACAGATTAAATCTAGATATCCAAGAAAAACTAAAATAGGTTTAAAGTAATACCGCTCAGACACTTCCTTAAGACCATGAAAATCCAGTTGCTTTGAAAAATGAAGGTTCTTGAAAAAACTCTCTCTATCTTCCACTTAGGAAATAAAACAAAAATAAATTAAAAACTAAAAATAACAGCTTTACACAGTTTGGGAATGCTGTGGAACGTCTGCAGATTGAGGAAAACTTGTTTTTGGTTAATAAAAAAAAACCCAAAAAAACCCAGTATTTTTAAGTCTTTACACATCAGGAAGAGATTATACTCATTATACTCATTTTCTATAAATGAGTTTAGTAGTGTTGCTGGCATATAAAAAAAAGTTATACATAATCCCAATGTATTTCCTGGACCCACTAAGTTCTTGATTCAGAAGCAGCATTCCTATTTAGGAAACACATTACATTTCTTCTAACTCTTAAGCATATACTTAAAGTTAAGGATTTAAGTGTTTTTGTAAATCAGGATAGAGACAAGCTTGGTCTAGTACCTACAACATGGAAACCAGACACCTAGGTTCTTTTACTAATCAACTGCTGAATCACACTGGACATATTTAATTTTTACATTCATGTCCCAACCTATCCAAAGGGCTCAAAGCAGCTTACAAACACACACAAACCACAGATAGGATTCCCCAAACACTACCCAAGAACTTCAACTATGCTCTCTCTCCAACCACCACCTCCCTACCCAAACCCAAACACAAGCAAACCCTCCTGCCAGTTCCAAACATACCTCCCAACCACCACTCGCATCCAGATACAAGAAACCTCTTCCCACCTCCTCTCTCCCCACCCTACCTCAACCCACAAAGGCTCCCCCCTTCCTTCCCCAACATCCCCTCTATGCCTTTACCCCCCCTTGTACAGAGGTGCTATAGTTGTCACTCCTCCCCTTCAAAAAACAACAATTAAAACTTTTCCCCCAACAAACAAAATTCAAAAAGAACCCTAAGAGAAGAAAAAAGAACCTCCATTCCTGCCTCAGTCGCACACATGACCACAGACGTTGTTTTGGTCAGCACATATATTGATTAACTATTATTCCTAATAATGGTATCTTGATATTTTGGTAACTGCATACAAAAATGTGAGGAGTGGCAAAAGGTCACTTTCTTCTTTGTAATTTAAGTAAGTCTACATCACTGTTCTCAGTAGTGGCAGATGACAGAACACGGAGAACAAAGAGAAATGGTCTCAAGTTGCAGCAAGGGAAGTTTAGGTTAGGACAAGGAAAAAATTATCTTACAAGGAAGGTAATATAAAGCATTGGAACAGGTTACCGAGAGGAGGTATAAAATTCTCCATCCTTGGAAGTTTTTAAGATGAAGCTAAAGCCTTAGCTGGAGTCCTGCTTTAAGCAGGGGGTTAGACTAGATGAGCTCCTTCCAACCCTAATTTTTTATGATTCTAAATGCTATCCTTTAAAACTAGAGAGACCTTGGAATATGTTTTGGTTTAGTACATGTATTCTTTTTCCACAGGAAATATTTTAGGTATTGTAACCCTTACTTTTCCCTCCTTAATTTATCTATTTTTGTTTTAGAAATGAATTTTGACTAGACTTGACTTCTGCATCTGTCCTTCCCTGTTATGTATTTTAAAAAGCAAGTCAGAACAGCACTGCACAATTTAAAACTCAGCTACTTAACATTTGTTTTCCTACTCAGGTCACTGTCCATGCAATTACTGGCACATGTTGTGTGAACAGCAACATTAAAAGAGCATATGATGAGGTATGGACTGTTGGATAAGTGCCATACATCTGATTTACTTTTTGCCTTGTTATGGCTGTTGCACAGCTGACTGCTAGCTGTGTACAATGCTGGCAGAGGTTCAGGAACATTAGTAGATCAACAGGTAAAATCTTTACTAGCAAAAACAGTATGTCGTTTAAAAATAAGAGATCTTTCCCACTACTTTTCCACAAACAGGCTAAAACTATGACTCAGTGGTATGAGTTTGAAAACTGACATTTTCTAATGATTATACTTGTAATAGCTTCAAGAGGATATCATATATCTTACACTGTTCAGAATAATGGAATATGCATGGGCTCACAGAAAGCTTCATGAAGAAATTGTGGGTATGGAGATCAAAGGTCAAAATTCAAGGCTTTCTTGCAGG